CGCATGTCGGACCAGATGCATGTCGGACCAGTCGCATGTCGGACCAGATGCATGTCGGACCAATCGCATGTCGGACCAGATCCATGTCGGACCAGTCGCATGTCGGACCAGATCCATGTCGGACCAGATGCATGTTGGACCAATCGCACATCGGACCAGTCGCATGTCGGACCAGTCGCATGCTGAATGAAATGAAGGTTCAATGCAACAATGTGTGAACTGTTATCAACAGGAACATTAAGCAGACTTAATGCTGGATGATAAGAAGTTTGGAAAGACTGCTGAGATGGTCTACTGTAGATTCAAATGTAGCACCAATCATCTGTGTCTCTAAGACTCATCATCATTATCTGACAACAGCGTCTAAACACGCCCAGCTTCACTCCCTGATGGCGAGGAAAGTCAGCTGGACACACAGAGCAGGTTAAATAAATAACAACCATCCAGTCCACACATGCAGAGAAATACTGCAGCACTTTGTTACACAGTGCTAATATTTCAGTATCCTCTAATACCACCATGCAACAGCATCAGAGTTGTTAGCCTTTGTTGCTAACACTGCTACAGTCAGTCACAGCAAGCAGAGCAATGGTGCCTGTGTAACCTTATATTTCAGATACGTTTAAAACTGCAGCTTATTACCAAGGACATCTGAAACTCCAGTGTTTAACCCTCACTGATAAAATTCTCCCTTTAGGCTAGTTTTACTGTGCAGGACTGTCAGTGCAATAAAATCCAAAGGATGCAGTCATGTTAGGACGCACTGAACACAGTACTTCTCTTTCTAAGAGTCTTGCCTGCCATGGGCCTTACCTGATGGATAGACAGTCCTGTCAGGTTGGATGCGGAGGAGGGAGTCAACAATGGCCGCCCTTCGCTGCAGAAGGGTTGAGATCATGTCCAGCCCCTCTGGGCCGAGCAGCTCAAACAGCTGGAGACAGGAACAGGAGAAGACAGTCAGTACTTGGAAAAACACATTTCTCATTGGAAATGAATAGACTAACAGGCTTGTGAGGATCAGTGGAACAACGCAGCATCCTGATCCCTCGTCTATAAGGGTTGGTTTCAGAATGGAGGCTGTGACAGAGAGCACAGCAAACTGGTCACCTGGTCTCTGTCGAGGCCTTGCTTTGCTCTGTGAATATCTGTTCTATTCACGTTGGGAGTGAGAGGAGAGGTGATGTCCTCTCAGTGGACGGAGGGTTTCATCTGCTCACAGGGATTTTTTAAATGAACTCTCATGAATCCTGGCCTTGGAACTGACTGATTAGGTGTGGGCTCTGCAAGGACAGAGACAGACTTTCTCCTTCAAACGGCTTGTGTGCACTCTCCATCCTTCAGGCAAACGTTAACTGTGTAATGAGTCTGCATGTGCAGAGCTACGGGTCAGCAGTGGCAAGGTCTGTGTGGTCTGCTCATTTCAGTGAGCAAATGGAACAAAAGAACCAGGATGAGTGGAGCTGAGGCACAGGAGGGCATCCTGAAACCACGTGCACAGGAAAAATACTCTAAAGATTCCTTTTCAGGAGGATGGTGGTTCGATCCTGGACTCCTTGGTGCTGAAGAGAATTACACAGTGATGGATGAATGTGGACAAGTCTATGCATGGAATAAAGTAGCTTTAATGCAGCTTTGGAACATCAGTCCATTTACCTCATCAGGATTTTTTATTTGATTCACCTGCTGTTAACATCCAAGCAGCCATGAAATAAGAACAGTACAGAAGCAGTACTTACCACTGTAACTGTAACTGTAACTTATCTGCACCAACGACTCGATAATTAACACAGCTTAACTCATTTAGGACGGCCTTACTAAACCAAAGAGCACTTTTACATTAG